CGCATGCATGCATGCGCATGCATCTATGCTGGTATGTCTGCATGTATGTTTCCATGTATGTATCTATGTATGTATGTATGTGTGTATGCTCGTTCAGATGTATGTATGTATGTATGTAGGTAGGTATGTGTGTATGTATGTGTGTGGGTACATATGTATGCATGTACGTATGTATGCATATGTACGTATGTGTGTGTATGTGAGGGTATGTATTCCTGTGCTGGTGTGCTTGTTCATAGCGGCGTCGCTAGTATCAGTTTACTGTTCGTCCCAGAAGCTGCCAGTCCTCCTATCATATACTATATATACTATGTATAACTATATATAGTATATACATATATATATGTGCGCTATCACTATCACAAAAACTATTCGTATTCGCCGCCGTCGTCGCAGTAGCAGTAGAAACAGCAGCAGCGACAGTGGCAGTGGCACTAGCGGCAACAGCAGCAGTAGGAGTGGGAGCTGTGGAGATGATCTCGCTGGTAAGAGCGAGTTTGCTTACAATGCCTCTTGTTTTTGTGGAACTGACAGTGTTCTTTTGACTCCGCTCTCGTGGCCGGTTTCTTTAGTTCAGTGCTGGTTGCAAGCTTCTTGCACTACTACTGCTCACGAACCATGGTAGTCGGAAACCGTCATGATTAACCACTGGCCATCGTGCTCAACGACGACTGAGGCGGAAATCCTGCTCTTATCCAGTTCACGAAGATGAAATATCACACCGTAGAATATTCATTATGACATACTGTATGGCTGAGTACATTATTATCAGCCCCTATAATATTCATAATATCCCGTATTATACATAGTAAATCACCATACAACGAGCACGCAGAGGCCTCAGATGGGACTTTGGAGCGCGCGAAGCTCGGCCTGAGAGCTGTGATCGGGTCTGCTCCGGACTGCCTTCGAAAGGCGGGAAGGTCCCTGAGAGTCGGTCTTACTGTAATATAGGGGCCTAAATACTTACCTATTTCCCTGGTATATTTGGCCCAAAAACCCTAGTCTAATTAATTATTAAGGCCCCTAGAATAGGCTCACGGGATCTTGAGGGTGCAGGGCGCCTTCGATGCAGGTGCAGGGTTTTGGTAGAAAATTCTTTCATCGTTTCCCTTGGGGGTATTTCGCATTTCCCCGAGCTTCCTGGGGCTGTTCTCCAGCGATCCGCCACGGGGGGCCCGCAACCCTGGCGAGCAAACAGGTTTGGAGACCCTGACATGAGAAATCTCGAATTTTGAGGATTTCGGGCTCATGATTTAAGGAGCGTCAGCGTACAGTACCGACCAGGATGCCCAACCTTCTGTTGGTCTCGCTACTCGCAAGGCCTCCAAACATCTGATTTACATCTCTTGGCAGGTGGTCCTACTCAGCCATATCGGTGCGCAGGAAGGCAAGGGCGGGTGCCGAGCTTGGTCAGGCGAAGTCGCCTTTTTCAGGTTTCTGTGTGACTACAGGGCATTTGAGTTGGATGAGTAGTTACAGTAAACCGCATAAAGTTGGAAACCCGATTAAGGCCTTAAATAGTGCTGGGATTCCCTATACATTACTCTTTAGGATTGAGGCTATTGGGTTTCCAACCTTAGGGCTTCTACTGTACAGAGTCCAGAAAGAGGATGCTAGATCCGACATTCAGACAAGACAAGACCATACAAGACCCTTGGAAATTCCATGACGCCAATCCTTGGCGGTGGACCTCACATTCGAGCGCGCTCGTGGAGCTCAAAATACCAGACTCCTTGGAACTTGCTATCAATATTGTAGCTTAAGGGCATTAAGCTATAAAGATTCTCTTCAGTTGTTCGGGGATGCTTGGCTTTTTGTTTCCAGGCAGATGCGTTGCTCGCGTTCCGGCTGTTACAATCATAGCAGTCACGACCGGTGTGCAATAGAAATGCAAAAGCGTGCAATTGAAATGCAAAATGCATAAACAGCTTTAAATTAAGGAGAGAGGGGAGAGAGAGAGAGAGAGAGAGAGAGAGAGAGAGAGAGAGAAAGAGAGAGAGAGAGAGAGAGAGCGAGGGAGGGAGGGAGGGAGGGAGGGAGCGAGGGAGGGCGGGAGAGAGGGAGAGAGAGCAGAGAGAGAGAAATACAGGGGTGCGCTCCTCCTTGGCTGAGTGCAAGCAAGCAAGAAATAAAGAAGGAGAGAGTAGGTGGTCGTTAACATGCATCCAGACAGTATAACAGCGATTTGCATTGCATGGACTTGCGAACTGGGGCAGCTACTTGTTGGTTTTGTGATCGTCCTGTGGCTCTATTCAGGGATCGCGCCACGAGTGCACGTGGAACCTGTCTTTTCGACCGCAAGTCCTGCTTACAGGGCCCGAGCAGAGACCCTAGATGCCATGGAAACAGCAGTTAACGCAACGGAGCCAAGTAGTCGTAACGGGTGATGCTGATGCACCACCAGCCCGGGAGATTCATAACTACTAGTAAGATTTTCTGGCTTGCGAGGTTCAACCTCGGTGCCTTCTTCAACCAGGGTGCCGGATCATCGTGGTCTGATATTGAGGAGGGAGCTTCTCGGGTCCGGGGAGGGCGGATTCGGAGAGACTTGGCTTCTAGATTACCTTAGTCCATTCTAGTGTATCATATTAATGTGTTCTACTGCGTTATATAGATATTACCGTACCAAGTATTTTGCAGCATACTCTACACAAGACATATTGCGTCCGAGAGTCTCGTTTGCGGCCCACAGCAAGGAGCTCTCGGGTGGAGTCCATGCCAACAGGCTTACGCACATACCTATAGCCTCCAGTGCAGTTCCTTTTTCTGGAAAGCTTACAGGATCCTAACCACAAACTTGCTCTAGCCAAAACATGATATACACCAAAATCCTGGCACCATTCCGAGAGGAGTTTTGAGGCTCCCATGCACCACCCCATGAGCAGGAGCACGTTTCGTCCAGTTTACAGTACGGATTGGGTTGTACAGTTTACTGGCCGTGCCCGACGGACGCGGCAGCGAGACCGTGGAAAGAACACGATGGTCTTAGTTGAATCAAGATGCCCACCGCACCAACAGCAAAAACCACGGGACTGCCCGTCGCGCTTCGTGGATCCGCTATGACTAATCCTCTTGACACTTCGCAATAGCATAGGAACCCCTATAGCGTTACCTTACCGCATTGTTAGGGGAATGATGGAACGCATTCAACTGTGACTACCCGCATCATCTTGGAGATTGAGCGCCCCGCGGCCTTACATCCAGTGTGTGTCTTGCGGAGGACGAACTGACATCAACAGTCACGGGACCCAGAAACCGCTTCCAGCTGCTTCCCTAAGTGTGTACGATTCGCGTGGTTCTTTGGGGGCATCGTTGCAGTTGCACGCTATAGTACAGGATAAATGCCAATTACCAATGTATGCCAGTGTTCGTGCGAACAGTGATTTCTGCACTGACTGCGTCGAACCGGTGGTGGTGACAAAAAAACTACCGTACAGTGCTGATCCTGACCCTGACCCTGTCCATGTGGAATGCCGATGCTGTGCCGGATGATGGTCATGATGAAGTTGGAAAATACGGGTAATGAACAGGGGATGACGATTAATTACCATGGTCTGAGTGGCAAGCTGATGTCGATGAAAAATGCGGTTGATCAGCTTTGCGCACGGAGAGAAGGATTGCGAACATGCATGCAGTTTGACGAATGACTCTCGCGACGCTAACTTTCCGGGTGGCAGTAATGAGTGTGATGCCAACGACAACGATCACGATGATGGTGATGTTGATGGCGGTGTTGACAGCCATGGAAAGGACGAACAAGATGATGATGCGGTGCTGCATGGTGGTGCGCTGCTGCAGCCACTGCTCCTGTTGGTGCTGATAGCAATGATACTGGTTGCAATAGCTGCTCAAGCCAGTGACCCGTCATCATCATCATCATCATCATCATCGGCAGCATCATCGTGATCATCACATAGTCGTACTGATGGGGCAGTGTCACCGCACATAGACCGTCCTTAGCCAGCAGCATACGGTCCAGAAGCGACATTCCGTGTGACACTGGCACGGCACTAGTAAGAAAGCCCAGGCGCAGCAATACATAATGCATCCCCCAAGCCCAGAGCCTAACTCAGCCATCCACGCAAGCATGTGCGAGCTAGAACAGGGTGCTCGCACTGCGGGAATTGCAGCAACACGAAGCCAGCCTCCAGATTTGCAGACCTGAAGAGCCCCCAACTAAACCTTCAAACTGGTCCCCAAACAACATGTCGGCCAAAGATGTGAGCCAGAGCCCTGCGGATGACGAGGTTCGTCTTCGGCCGGCAGAGCGCGCCATCCGTCATGTAATTGCACGGGGCTGAGGGCAATTCTGCTCGTCGTTGCTGATGGTGGCGAGGATGAACATTGCTGCCGGTGAAATGATGATGATGATTGATTTTGACAGTGGTGCTGCTGATGAAGGCGATGATGGTGGTGGTGATGATGATGGTAGCAGACAACATTGATTGATGTGCTTCGGCCGATGATGCTCGGGGGAGATGCTGATGGTGACTATGGTGATAGTGCTGATGTTTGATGTTGTTGATGTCGTTGTTGGTGGTGCTGGTCGTGGTGCTGGCAGTGGTGCTGTGGCAGTTGTGATGTGTGGCGGAGGTGACGGCGCTGGGGGTGCGGTGGCAGTAGTGGTGGTGGTGAGGGTGGTGGTGGTGGTGGTGGTGGTGGTGGTGGTGGTGGTGGTGGTGGTGGTGGTGGTGGTGGTGGTGGTGGTGGTGGTGGTGGTGGTGGTGGTGGTGGTGGTGGTGGTGGTGGTGGTGGTGGTGGTGGTGGTGGTGGGGGGGGTGGTGGTGGTGGTGGTGGTGGTGGTGGTGGTGGTGGTGGTGGTGGTGGTGGTGGTGGTGGTGGTGGTGGTGGTGGTGGTGGTGGTGGTGGTAGTACTGCACTGGTCTTAGACAAACGCCTCTCTGGAGTTCGGTGCACGGTCGACTGTTTCTTCGCCGCCTGGAGCTCGAGTTGAGGTTTTTAACATAAGAATCGTATCTTTGGGCATCTTTGCAGCCATGACGAAAGCCGAGCAGAAGAAAGCCGTGCAGTTCACCCGCATGTGCAAATTCTGGCGGACAAATGAGTGCAAGATGGGGACAGATTGCACCTTCGCGCACACCACGGAGGAGTTGCGTCCCAGCCCGAAGCCTTGCTTTGACTTCGTGAAGAAGGGCATCTGTTCACGGGGCCAGGCATGCAGGTTTGTGCACGACCTGAATGGTATCAAGCCGAAGGCTAAGATGGAGGTGCAGTATGCCTTGGAGAACTTCCAGCCTTGCGCCGTGCCATCCCAAGTCCTTGCCACCTACATGCTACCCCAGAGCCCTATGAACGTCGAAGGATGGCTCGAGCCGCAATATGCCTATACGCAAGCACCATGGCCAACCACGTCCACGTTGGAGGACCGCTTGAGCTCCAGTTACTGGGTTCTTGTTGAGGAGCTTAATTTAAGTTACCGTAAGAATGGAACCATGATGCGTTTATTACAGATCCTTATTTAGGCAACTTACGTTTAAGAACCCAGGCTATGCACCACCCGGGCTGGACCAGATCCCTTTGCCCGCGAGCCTCGTTGATGATCCAGAGCTCATGGCAGACAAGTTGCTGGGTTCTGGAGTACCATACGGTTTAGGGTTAAGGGTTTAGGGTTTAGGGCATACATGATATTACAACAGTGAAAACAGTGACAAGACTATGTTTTGTGAAGTGTGATTTGTAGTCATACTGTTGATGAGTAACCGCAATGATAATGACACTTGGGGGGGGGAAATTGATCCTTAAAGGATCCCTTATGACATGCAAGTCCATACTAGGACTTGTTTTCCATAATGGCTCTGTTAAGGATCAGAGTCCATACTTTTTTCCCCGGTTGCGTCGCAGCCCAGGTTGAGCAAGGAACATTCCCGTCGCCCCAGCTTGTGTGAAACCTCACTGGGCTTCTGGCATTGCTTCCAGCACATGGGTTTAGGGTTTTGGGGACCTTCTTTAGTTGTTTATCGTTAAGCCAACTTTCGAAATCACTACTGTCACTTTTCCTGCAGAGTTCACAAGAACCACGAAGGCTTGGGGCAGTTTTCGGTCTCTCTGGCCAAGACCATGGACCCAGAGGACATATTTGGCACAGGGAGTTTGACATCGACGATGTCCCTGAGCGGAGCCGCATCACACTTGAGTGACTTTGAGGGGCCATACACGAGGTTGTTTGTGTAG